TCTGAGACAAAAATCTGTCATACAACCATATTAATGATTCTCTTTCTGTACCCCACTTGCAAAATTTGATTTGAATCACCAATTCTAATTTTTATTTTACCTGGTGTTGAAGTATTCTTAATAGTTTACGGTTTTTGTTTCTTGGGAAAGATCGTAAATATATTAATAAAGGAGCAAATGAGTAGCACAGAATAAGCATTGTATGTTTAAAAGAACATATTATAAAGTCAGACCAGAAACTTTTACGTATTATAAACATATGTTACCATTTTCCCTCTTTTCCAAGCTGTGGATGACCTTTAAAGAAGAGGCTACCACTACAGAGGTTTAAGTTTTGTTAGTATCTTCAATGACAATTTTATTTCATAAAATAGTCACAATGTAAACACTTTAAAGCCTTAATGTAATTAAATCACTTTATCTGTATAGTGTGACATAAGTGGGGCCCTCAATATGAGTAATTCTGTTTTGTACACAGTAACCAAATTATTGAACATCAAAAACATAACTAAATATTACTTACATTCTTGGAATTTTATCTATTAGCAATGCAAGAGTAAATAGGTTTTCAGAGGGTACCCAAAAAAGTCTTAATGAAAGAAAAAGGCTACTCTGGCAACATTTTAAATACTTACATCAGTTTGTAGAAGCTTATTATCCAATGTCAAAAGTGTATGAAAATTATCCATCCAAGTTTCCATATTATCTTCAAAAAATTCAGGAAGGTCCTAAAGAATAAACACTTTTGACTAAAATAAATAAGTACGCTACTTTAATAAATTTCCCCACAATGCTAAACATTCTGTACATGCCGTATAGGGTTAAGCCCAAACTCAGTGTGAGCATTACCTATTCTGGCAAGAATGCTCTGCTGCAGCTAGGTCTGGCAGTTGAATAAATCATTCAGATTTCTGCCTCGGTTTGTCTGTTTTCACCATAAATGATGTCACCTCTAGTTCTTGTCCCAATCTAAATCTTCCTTCAAGTTCCAGATAAGCCAACATGAAGCCTTTCCTTACAAAGCTCAGTGCTTACCAATACATTCCCTTTCCAACTACTGCATTTATTATAAGATGACCACCAGCCCAGAATCAAACTTATTGTCTTACAAAGGTACTGATTTCCTATGGCAGAGTACTGCCTTCTTAATGAGGAACAAACCCCCGTCCTTCCCCCCAAGGGTAAAGATTATGCTTCCTTTCTCTGGTCTCCTTGTTATGCATGACAAGTAATCAAGAGCTTCATTTTACCTGACTTCTCAGAAGTAGAATTCAAAAGAAGGTATAAGCAAAAACAGTAGTATTCATTTAAGTAAGAATTTCTCAAACTGCTGTCTAGCTGAACACCAATGTGGGACATGTTATTCTGGGTTGTTCATCTCCTCCTACTCTAAACCTAAGAGAACCAATTTCCTTTTGGTAACGCTTTCCCTACCGCCGCGAGTGCAGTCATGTTGTGAAGATAAGAACAGGTCCTGGCTACGAACAATGAAAAGGCGAGTTCCTTCCTGCATCTCACTGTAGCAATCTGTACCAATTAATACCCCTTTCTCAGTCCTGAACTCGGAATCTTTTTTTTTTCTTTTCTAATTTCAGGATATTATGGGGGTACAGATGTTTATGTTACGTATGTTGTCCTTACCCACCTCCACCTGCCCTGAACTTGGAATCTTAAACTAATGATTCGAGAACAGAAGGAATGATTGGAGGCCATTATCTCAGTAGCAATAGGGTGACTAGGCATTCCCTGCTATAACCCTGTGGCTGTGTTTCCTCTGAAATGCCATCAGTTCTTACCCCTTTCAAAGCCTGGTACTTAAGTCTTCTGTCTCCCCCATGCTTCCAATAAAAGTCCTTTTGTATAAGCTAGCTAGGGACCCCTAAACAAAACATGGTTCCCCAATGTTAATATCTACGTAAGTGAACAAAAAAGGAAGACCTCAGAAATCTGGTTTCTCAGTGCCTTCAATAATATAGTGTACAGGTTGACTCTCCAAAATGTGGGGCTTGTCTAATTCACTGGCTACAAGAGAATGCTATTTTTTTTCCCCATGAAACACCCATTAGCATCTCTAGAAACTACTGTAAAATTGAAGCCTGTGGATAAAGTGGATAAAGAATAGGGGGAAGCCAGGCGTGGTGGTTCACGCCTATAGTCCCAGCTACTTTGGGAGGCTGAGGTGGAAGGATCACTTGAGCCCAGGAGTTCAAGACCAGCCTGGGCAACATAATGAGACTCCATCTTAATATTTAAAAAAAGAATTGGGGGGGTGGGGAGGAGCAGGGATCTCAGAAAAAACTTTTCTTTCAGAAAAACAAATGCTGGCAAAGAAGTCTTTATCAAGTAGAAAACTATGTTTAACATCAAAGAATAAGAATCAAAAGCAAGAGATCAAATGAAACTTACCTGAAAGTTTAAACTATAGAACAATTTTGAGATCAGAATTAGGGAAGAAAAAAGAATCCTCAGGGCAGAGGCATCATTTGCATGGGTGCTGCAGAGTTCAATGGTGGCCTTGGAAAAGAATTTAGCAACATGGTTTTAGTGTATTGTAAACCTAGTATGCTGATCTTAGGGAAATAGCCTTGTGCTATGCTGAACCTATTTATATTTCTTCTCCAAAATTTGGTTTCTAAATAGTAGTATATAGTCATTTAAGAGACTCTGAAAAATAAGTTAAAGTATATTTTTTAAACTGTCCAAAATAGCACTACTAAAGTCTAATGTTAATATTCTAAATTATTCTATCTTTCCGGTCATCTGTGCATATATACAAATATATTACCCCAAACCGTCTTTACTGCTCCAATTAAATAATTCCTTTGTCACTTGGCATTTAGGTTGTTTCCAATTGTTCATTATTCTAACTGCAACAAACAGGTTTATTTATAAAACTTTGTGCACACCTCTAATCTTCAAGAGTCTGAAATTTTAGACATATATTACCACGGCGGCACAGTGCTATGAGCACAGGTTTTGGAAGCCAAAAAGACTTGTACACAACCTAAGCTCTATTACTCGTAAGGAGCAATACACTGAGGAAGTTATTGTACTCTGAGCCCCAAATTCCTTATTTTAATATGAGAATAATGCTTACCTTGAATAGAAAGTATAATCAAATGAGAAAAAATATATAAGAGGTCTTAGTACTTTGTACCTACCTACTACATAAAAAAGACACTCAACGAATGTTACTTCCTTTATCCTGGAGTTAGGATAATATTAATATTAAGGTTTTCTTAATGCCAAACTACAGTTTAAAAGCCAGTACCATTTATAATACAATAAACAGGACACTAGAGTATTCATTTCAATGTGCTCAGCTAAGACTTTAAACATCATTAGAAAGAAAGAAAATCTTTGCCAACCCAATAGGTGGAAAAAGTGATCTCATTTTCTCCAATTTTATTTTTTAAAATAAAAATGTACCATCAGTAAGATACCCTAACTATGAAAAACCCTGTGTACGCTCTTCATTTTATTACTAATATGACACAACCTTCCCTTAAATAAGAAATAAATAGCTTTTTTGGAGTCAGCAAAACTAGGTTTGAAGCCTGGCCCTCTCTTTCTTATTAGCTGTGTGAAAATGAACCCTCTTTTCTTATCTAGAAAAAAGGGTTAACAGTACATTTCTTACGATCTTACAGGATTCTCACAAAGACCAAGAACATGTTAAGAAAAGCCGCCTGTACATTGTAAAATGATGTACAAATATATAAACTAAACTCCACAGTCAAATTAAAATGTGCATTGGATCTCTCTGAAACTCAGGAATTTCAGAAAAAAAACATGGCTTTTTTTAGATACAATACTCAAATACTTGGGTGAAATGATATGATGCTTTGTTTTTAAATATTTCTAAGTAGGGGAGCAGATTGAAAAAAAACACAAAATGTTGGTAATTGTTAAACTTATATAATAATAGAGTTCATTATAACACTTTTACGACATAGGTTTGAAACTTTTCAAAAGAAATATTGCTCTACACATTACCTATCAAATAAGCTTTCAAAGTATTCTCTTAAAATTTACATGAATATTTAAGCAATTTACAATTAAAAAATATCACCAAGATGTTATTCCATACCTTAAATAGATTAGTCAAAGGCAAAGCAAAGGCATCCAGAACAAGTTTAATTTCAGTCCATAACTCGTTTGACTTAAATTCATGACGATATCTAAAAAATTAAGGTACAATAGATAAATTTACAAGTTTTTATTTATTCGTTTTAGGTCTTAAAGGGTCTGTTCTGATAGACATCTACGACTAGATGGCTTTCTGAAATTCAAAGGGAATTCGTGGTTTTCTTTTTAAAGGCATCAAACACTTTATGAAGACCAGGTATTTCACAGGTGAGGGGAATATGAAATAAACATTCTACTTGAGAACAACCATAATTAATTAAGGTTTACACTCTTATCCTAGGCTGATACTATTCAAAGAGTGACAACAGGCACAAAGGTAACTTGATACAATCAAATTAAATTAAGAAAAGTAGTTTCAAAATATGAGTATGTACACCAGTACCTTTTAAATAATGAATGTGCTGTACGCAGGACTCCATTAATAACATGGAAATCTCCACTCTGAAAGCGATTCACCATTTCTGTCAACAAGTCAGGCCATTTCTGAGGGAAATCTTCTCTTCCAATAATGCTAATGGCATCACTTAGCTGGGGGAGGAAAGGATTCATTAGATGAGAGCCTTACAAAGGAACCTACCTAAAAAGCAGGGCTACATTACCTGCTTCTGAATTTGCTCTGGGCTGCTGAGCATCAAGTGCACTATGTTGGCTTTAATGGCTACTCGATCAGCTTCACAAATTTTGTTTGGTTCATCTTCAACCTAAAAGCAAAATATCAATGAGCAAGTAATATAAAATCCATATTCATGTCCACATGGTTTTAGATAAAACAGAACTATTTTTTATTCTCTGGTTTTCTAAGAAAACTGCAGAGAAGGTGGAACCTTCCCACAGTTTCACAGATCATCTGTTAAAGGGTCACAGATTCTGTTAACAATCTGATGAAAGCGTGAACTCTTTCCCCAGAAAAATGTGCATTCCCTCACAAATGCAAAAATTTCACATACAAATTAATAAGCTCTCACTTCCTGATGCCAATAAGAATTTCAGTTCTACATGTAAACTAATCAGAGCACATGGTCAAAATCTTTTTTTTTTTTTTTTTTTTAAAACAGAGACAGGGTCTCAACTCTGTCACCTAGGCTGGAGTGCAGTGTGATTAAAATCTTTATAGATGGATGGACGCGGTGGCTCACGCCTGTAATCCTAGCACTCTGGGAAGCTGAGGTGGGAGGATCACTTGAGCTCACGAGTTTGAGACCAGCTTGAGCAAGAGAGAGACCCCATCTCTACTAAAAATAGAAAAATTAGGAGGGCATGGTGGCACATGCCTGTAGTCCTAGCTACTCGGGAGGCTGAGGCAGGAGGCTCACTTGAGCCCAGGAGTCTGAGGTTGTAGTGAGCTAGGCTGATGCCACAGCACTCTACTCAGGGCAATAGAGTGAGACTCTGTCTCAAAAAAAACCAAACAAAAAAACCACGATGGTGTTAATACATCAGATCCACTCTTCCATCTACTGCAAGACCTTGCTCCATTAATTATTCCCTCTTATGTCTGTATCCTAGAGATTCTATCTTGGAAAACAAAAACAAATCTTTACAGATGTATGCTACTTAATCCATATTCATCTTAAAAAGCTTCAATATAACTCTCACCTTGAAACTAAGGACTATTTAAGGAAAACTTCTTAATCATTACAAACCTGGAATACATCACCCAAAGAGGTTCTGGAAATCTCACTAGTTTTATAAATCAAACTAGAGGGAGAGGGCTAGCCTACAAGTAGAGGGACAAACTTTTAGACATTGTTTCTAAGATTTACCAAGTCATTTGTTCACCACATGTGGTAACATTTGACTAATTATACAAGGTTAAAAATAATACTTACTGTTTTATACTTTCATGAAATGAGGAAAAAAAGCAAGACTCTATAAATAAAAGACTTTGTAGACTTTGTTGACTTTGTAGAAAAACTGACCATTTCTGTCAACCTTAATACTTTGTGCAAAATCATCACTACTATGACTATAAAGCAATTCTCATTTTTTCTTTATCATGAGCCAGGGCTCCTCAGCCTTAGCATTATTGACATTTTGAATCATATAATTCTTTGCTGTGGGAAGCTATCTTGTGCGCTGTAGGATGTTTAGCAGCCACCTCTAGCCTCTACCCACTAGATGCCAATAGCAACCTCTGCAGCTTATGATGTCTCCAAATATTGCCAAATGTCCCCTGGTGGGTAAAACTGCCCCTAGTTGAGAACCATTGTCCTAAGCTAAGGTAGGGAAAATGCCTGTTTCTCAATTTTTAATTTTCTTAGCCATTAAACTTATAGTACAATAGGATTTATCTTGAATTAGATTATATTTCCATATCACATAAGACATAGGGCAAAATTTCTTATCAGAAATTTCAGGGCCAGGTCCAGTGGCTCACATCTGTAGCCCCTAGTTACTCTGGGAGGCTGAGGCAGAAAGATCGCTTGAGCCCAGGAATTTAAGGTTGTAGTGGGCTATGATGACATCACTGCACTTTGGCCAGGATGAGAGTGTGACTCTGTCTCGGAAAAAACAAAACAAAAAACCCTCAAATCTAAATTACCTTGCATTCTACAAATTTTGTATATATGTGATTTTTTTCAGCTTTAATTTTCTAAGTCCACTCCACAAGAGAAATTACTTCAATTATATTCATTTAGACTGTTTTCCTACACAACGTCTCTTCACTAAGCAGTGAGCTACAGTTAAATTGCAATCATAACGGAGACTGAAACCAAGTCACACACCCTCTAGCTGTCCAAGTTATAAAGTTGAAGAAATTTATATAAATCCAAATGAAATCACAGATGCTTTGGAAAAGGGTCTTGTTTAATTTTATCTTTAATCTGTATTTGAATCTTTTAAGAGCACTGTTCATATAAATCTTATAAACATACAGAGCATTAAATTATATATTCACAAATTACTTACAATTCTCCAGTTCCGTTTAATATAGTTTTTGAACGTTACTGAAGCACACACTTTGATAACATTATCCTGGGACTTCTCCAGTAATGTTAAAAGCAGCAGTGGGTAATTCTGATTTCCTTCTACAGATTCAAGAAATTTCTCAGCTGTAAAAGAATTTTCATGTTAGAAAATTTATTAAAATCAAGATCTTTACACATTATGTATATATTAACATGAACTCTGTATATCTTTAATTGAAAGATCAAAAAATTGAAAGATTAGGGTATTTCCCTTTAGGGCCTTACTTTTCTCATCTATTAAATAGATTATATACAATGTTACATTAAATTTACATAAGGCTTCAGTTTTCAAATCACCTTACCATCTATTAACTCACCTGATTCTCACAAACCTATCAAATGGCCTGATTGAATGACTACCCCATCTAAAGGACAAGTTGCTTCCCCGAGAGATTGACTTCAGGGCCAAAGTTCTATACCCTTGTCTTTTTTCAGAAAAGATTATTATTAGTACTGTTAATAGTAATATTCCTTTTATAGGATGATCAAGATCAAATGAATTAATTTATGCTAATATATATTATTAACCATATGGGTCCCATTCTTTACTGACATATATTATTTCATTAAGTTGTCACTATTACCCGGAAAGGTAGGTAGCATTATTCTCATTTTAAAGTCAAGGCCACTGAGGTTAAACAACTTTGTGGAAGATCACACAGCTGGAAGCTTTCATCACTGAAAAATTTTTAGCTCAGTCCTTTTTCTACCTTACCAGCTCTAAGATTTCTTCTCAAACTAAAAATTTCTGAATACCAGCAATGAATTTATACAAAAGTTTTACCAACATATTTTCAGTCCATATTACATTTTGGGATAAATTTTCTAGGTCTACTGATCCCATGGTGGTGGTGGTGGTATAGTATTTCTTTTTTTTTTTTTTTGAGACAGAGTCTCACTCTTTTGCCCGGGCTAGAGTGAGTGCCGTGGTGTCAGCCTAGCTCACAGCAACCTCAAACTCCTGGGCTCAAGCGATCCTCCTGCCTCAGCCTCCCGAGTAGCTGGGACTACAGGCATGTGCCACCATGCCCAGCTAATTTTTTTTTTTCTATATATTTTTAGTTGTCCGATTAATTTCTTTCTAATTTTAGTAGAGGCGGGGTCTTGCTCTTGCTCAGGCTGGTTTTGAACTCCTGAGCTCAAACAATCCGCCCGCCTCAGCCTCCCAGAGAGCTAGGATTACAGGCGTGAGCCACTGCGCCTGGCCTAGTATTTCTTTTAATGTTTCCTATCTTAAGCTTCAAAAGGCAACACTCATGCAAAGATTCCAGTATTTTTTGAAAAGGTATTTAATAATGTCATTTAACACCTTCCCTCTTTCTGGATTGAGTTCCGAGAGTTTAACTATTAAATAACATTTTCAAATCCTCCCTGCTTTGTGTTTACATGTCTTTCTTAAAGGATGAGGACTGTTGCACTGAAAATGTTTTTCGGGAGGGGACATACTATGGTTTCGTATGAGTACAGAAACCTCTGGTTGTTTCCTCCTAGTTAGTGGTCAGCATTTCATCCAGGGGTGTATCCATGATTTGGGGAAAAGCCCATATAAACTGCCAGATCTCTTTCCTAAACTGAAGTCAATATCCAGAAAAATGATCTGGAGACTAATTAAGTCTATTCTTTTCTGTGTTCATTTCCTTCAACTTACAGAATATCTATATTGACATGTTTCTGTATACTCAGAGCCTCAAAAGGACTTCTGGGCCAGGCAGTGGCTCATGTCTGTAATCCCAGCACCTTGGGAGGCTGAGGCAGGAAGATCACTTAACCCAGCAGTTAAGAGACCAGCCTGGGCAATATAGCAAGATCCTGTCTCTACAAAAATTTCCAAAAAAAAAAAAAGGTCTTCCAGTTCATCCATACCACTGTCCCATCTCAATAATCAAGGGAGCATAGTCACATCTGTAAGCTGGGATCCAATACACATTTCCATCTCCTTAAAGACACTGAGTCAGTCTAGTGCCAATCCTTGAGAAATGTTATGTTCATAACTCCTCCCAGAGACACCAATTTATTTCTATACTCTGCCCTGGATTCATAAAGCCAACAGAACCATCACCTTACAAAGACACATCATTAAAAATAATTTTTAAACAGACCATGCTGGCAAAAGCTTTCAGGGAAAGTCTAAGAAGATTAGAGCCATTAACTTCCCTTTATCCAGGAACACGTCATGGGAGCACTAATGAGAAAACCAATTTTGCCTCTCAGAAATCACAAAGACTTTCCTAGAATAGGATGGTTTCACTAACATGTTTATGATTCTATTTATTATATATAATGTATAATTTAACACGCATACACACTCACTTGTGCCTTCGTGGAACCCTTCCAAAATCCTCTATATGAGCATGCACATAAGTTCTGAAGCAGCAGTTTAAGAGCATTTCTGGTTAATATGGCTTACATCAAGGATCAACTGACTGCTCACAAGACATATCTGGCCCCCAGAAGCAGTTTGTTTGGTTTGTACTGTTTCGAAATTTTCTGTAGTTGCTATCATTTAAAAATGAGGGTGCTTCATATAAATATCCTTACTTTTCAAGCAAAGTTGATCTTGCAAAACTGGTTTGGATCCCCAAAGTTAGCTAGTTCCAAACAATATTTGCCCCTTAGCCAGGGCATGTATTCACCTGACAGTACCAGTTCCTGCTTGGCCTGCCTCACTTACCTTTACATCTGACTCCTGTGAGCATCAGAGTTCAAAATACTAAGCTTATACTAAGTTTCTAATGGAAACTGGTCAAATTCAGAAAGGAAAGAAAGGAACTCTAGGTCTTAAAATATTAATTAAATCAAACCCAACAGGGAGATTAAGAGACAGTATCTGATTACTTGTTTTTATTCGCTTAATCACTTTTTAGGCAATTATTTTCATCCCTAAGCCCTAATTATTATATCTCTAAAGTAGGCAGATTTTAAGTGGGGATTTTCAGAAAGGTCAAGAGACAAAGCATTCTAAACATGCTCCTACTTTTTTTCCCCTACCAACCCACAGGCCTTGTATCCCTACTTTTTATCCCTATAATCCCAGAAGTACTAAATAAAAGCCATTTTACTCAAAAAAACCACACCATGTTACATAGCAGCTTTAAGCAGCCAACCATACACTATAAACTATGCCTGAGAATCTAAGTATAAATCTTTTCTTTTTTTTTTAACTTTACAAACAAGCAGACTCCCACAAAGCCTTCTCTCATCTGTCCTTTAAGAATTAATCAACCAGAAAACATATATTCTCTTTACCTGGACGTCTGATGGCAGGATCAGGATCAAGTGTTTTCTTTAAATATTCTGTTAGTGTTTGTAAATTTGCATCACTGAGCTCCATTGCTATAGAATCTAAAATAAAAAATAAGGTTTGGGTAATTGGTCACTTGGGGACACAGTAATTTATATTAAAAAATCCTTTTACCAGCCTGAGCAACATAGTGAGACCCCATCTCTACAAAAAAATAAAAAAATTGGCTGGGCACAGTGGTGCAGGCCTGTAGTCCCAGCTAGTTGGGAGACTGAGGCAGAAGGATCACTTGAGCCCAGGAGTTTGAGGTTGTAGTGAGCTATGATGATGCCACTGCCTTCATGTCTGGGCAACAGAGTAAGAACCCGTCTCAAAACAAACAAACAAAAAACAAACCCAACTTTTTGTAAGTCTTTCCCCTCTGTGAAAATCATTCATTTGTTATGTTTTCAATATGGGCTATAAGCCTGACTCTTAGCTGAGAGAGTTCAGAAGATGGTTTCTTTTTTTTTGAAACAATGGTGAAATAATTTTGAGCTAAGGGATCAGAAAAACATCCCAAAATTTCAAAAAGATAGGCACAGAAAAACAAAGCTGAAGAACTGCTCAAAGTCACCAATAAGTTTATCTGATTTAAGGCTATGAGAAAAAGCTAATAAAGGCTGAGACAATCACAAGTGGAACTTTAAAAAATAAAAGTTCCACAGTGAGAATTAAAATGTTAAACAGTAAATAAAGATCCCATAAAAAATTCTAAGATTAAAGAAATCAGAATAAATTCCTTTGTGTACAACATGTAATCAATCACAAATACTACAAACTACAAGCTGAGAATTTGCATCTAGGGAGATAGTTCTGGAGTTCAGAAGATGACAGCTGTGATTATAATTGAAAGTTTTCTTATTTAAAGCTTAAACAAAACTAACTCAGAATTTGCTTATGACTTACCAAAAAAATTTACATCTAACAAATTAAATAAATAAAATAAATAAATTAAATAAATGGCCTATGTAGATATAACTAGTTACACGGGCTAAGAAATACACAGCTGAAGAAACTTATCGTACAACGTGGTGACTGTAATTACTAACAATGTATTGTTTACTTGAAAATTGCTGAGTAGATTTTAACTGTTTTCACGACAAAAAAAAGTATGTTGGGTTATATATGTTAATTAGCCTGATTTTACCATTCTACATATTTCAAAACATGTTGTACACCGTAAGTGAAAGGTGGTCTTACTAATAACCTATCTAACAGAGGAAAATAAACTATCAAACAGAAAGAGAAATAAATTCACAACACGACTACCTTTTGTTCAATTAAAACGTGTGGCCTAACTTGTCATCTGAGTTCTTTCTCAGCCTCGAAAAACTTCCTGAGCGGATAGCAGAAGTGCAAGCTTCCCCTGATTCCTCAAGAAGAGACAGTACCAGGTGTCTCCTGCTATCAAGAAAAAACTAATTTCTGCTATCAATCCCCTACGTAAGAAACAGAAAAAGCCAACACAGCAGCTCTGCACTCGCTTTTGTTATCAGTCCCCTGCAACAGAGGAAAAACAAACAAACAAAAATAACAAATTTCTACCCTTTAAAAGAACCAAGCAACTTTCCTCACTGCCTAACATTTCTTTCCTCTCTGTGTGTCGTGGCCTCTCTCTCTCCCTCTTTCTTTCTTAGGAAAATAAATAAACTTTTAGTTTTGTATATCCTATTCACTGAGAATTCTTTCTCCCCACTGCACATGGACTTCACACCCTAACAGTTAAGTATATACACTTTTGTCAGTCAGAAAAAAATACACAAAAATAGCACATACAGATTACAAGCGTTAAATGTGCAGTACTGTCAACAGACCAATAATCTTGGGAATGTTATCAATGGAGCTTTATGGTCTCCAAGTTGTTGGTTAGTTGATAAGTGCAAAACGAGAGAACTTTTGGGGGTGACAGAGTGTTCTGAAATTAGACTGTGGTGATGGATGCACAACTATATAAATCTACTAAAATTCATGAAACAGTACACTTAAAATGAATGAATCTTATGGTATGTAAATTATACTTTAATAAAACTATTTTAAAAACTCCACTTCTGCTTAAATCCCATCGGGCAGTTTTTAGACAAACAGCTACATGTAGCTGGGAAAATGTAGCCTCTTCTGGGAAACCAAGCAAATTAACCTGAGGCTTCTTTTATAAAGAATAAAAAAGCTAAGTGCAGGCCGGACGCGGTGGCTCACGCCTGTAATCCTAGCACTCTGGGAGGCCGAGGCAGGTGGATCGTTCAAGGTCAGGAGTGCGAGACCAGCCTGAGCAAGAGCGAGACCCCGTCTCTA